CGTTCCCTTTTGCTCTTCTCAGGCAGCAGCCTTGCCGCAGGGGTGCGGGTACCTCGGCTCCATGGCAGGGCAGGTGAATGCCAGCCCTGCACAATGTGCTCGCCATCAGCCACTAACATGACAACCAGCTGGGGAGGTCACACCTGTTTTGCAGCTGGGAGAAACTCCTGCTTTCCTGAGCCCTATTTGCTTGTTGACTGCATGGGGAGCCACTTTCTTAGTCATTTGCAGGGGGAGCCTGCTGGCAGCTTCCTTCCTTTCTGCCCCTTCCCTCTTTCCAGTTGTAAGGAAGTCAGAGCCTCTTACCTGCCTCCCTCAGTGTCCGGGTTGGATGGAGTGAGAGGCTACTCCCTTCCCCACCACCCCATCTGCTTTCTGTTGCCCAAGTTACAGTGTCATGTCCTAAAAATCAGAATTACTGGGACTGGTGGACACGCCCCGAACCCTCCCAGTGCAGCCCCTCTCCATTTTGGTGGTTATGCCGAGTGTACTGGAAGCAGCAAGTGCATTAGTTATTGCCTTACAGAGCTGCCCCCAGGGCGGCTGCCCAGCCATGGGACCAGGTGGGCACGGAGGCAAGTGGTGGCTTTGGCTGCAAGTAGTTGGAGGATGGGAGGATCTTGCAAATGCTAAAGGGAAAAAGTGAGGCTGCCTGTTTGACAAGCAGAATCAGCTTCTTTTAGCCCACAGTGACCCATAGCCCCCCCCACCAAAACCAGCTGTGTGATTTCTTTTGTACAAATAATTACCGAGCTGCAACCAGTAAAAAAAAGAATGAAATTATCTAAGTGCAGTGAGCTCCTAGAGGAAGGTGGGAACACTCCACTTGCAGTCCTGGCCTGACCCAGTCACAGTGCCTTGTGCTGGGCCAGGCACCCCCGTTTGCGGCAGAGAGATGCCAATGCCTGCTACTGGTTTAGCCCTTCCCCGGATGGTACAGAACCATAAGCCTCACCTCCTGAGGAACCAGCTAACCTGCCAGAGCCCCTCTGCACAAGGGGCTTGTGCCAGGAGAGCGAGCCTATGCGCAGGGGCAGAGGGGAAGATGGTGCCTCATCCCAGGATATTTTAGAAAGTCTTTTCCCCAAGCAGTGCCCAGTGCAGGCTAGCACAGTTCTCTGCTTTCTTACTATTATTTGTTTGAATAATAGTTCAATAGTTCTTTGTCAGAAGAGGTATTCTCCTGGACATACATTTTTGCACCCATTGGGGAAAAAAACGAAGTCTAATGTTCTGCCTCTACCTTGAATGTACTCCTGAATCTTTCTGCTGTAACCACTACTTGTTTGTAATGTGTATTTGACTAGCACGCGCTCTCCCTTCCACTATGCAGCAAACGGCGAGGGGCGATTGGCACCATCTGAGACGGATGGTGTTGGGGCATCTGATCCAGAGCAAGTATTCAACTGGAAAAGGATAAAAGTGACAAGTTAACAGGGGGGAGAACGGATCTTTAAATTGAATTATTTTTTCAGTTACAAATATTTGAAAAAAAAAATCCATTTTATTAAAAAAAATCCAAACAGCCACGTGCTCAAAAATTTCTCTGGCTCTGCTGGTGGGAGGGCTTGGGGCCACTCTGCCTTTTCCAGCTCAGGGTGGGTGATCCCTCTGGGTCTGTCTCAAACCTGAAAAAAGGAAGCTTGAGTGGTGGTGCCTCATCCCTTCTTGGCTGCAGGGAAAGTCCCTTTGTGTAAGGAAATTACCTACCCTGCAACCAGAAGTAGGCCTAACAGCAGGAGAAGCACAGGCAGCTTTTGCAGCCTCCCCCAGCCTCATAGGCTGGTCTGGACCCCCGCTGTTTCAGTGGTGAGATGACACTGCAGCTTTCCTCAGCCAGATGCCAAGCTGGAATTACTTTGACTGAATTTTCTTTGACTAATTTTCACATCAGTAAATACGCTGCAACTTCCACCCTCCCATGAGCCTGGGCTTCTGGACATGGTTCTCCCAGGGCCTATGCCCTGTCACTGTGCCACTTTGCAGAAGGGACTCCACCTGCTTTTTTCTGGAGAAGCTCGTTAAGGTGTGGACCACACTGCTGTCCACCACCACCCAGCCCTGCTTTCTGCCATCCCCTCTCCCGCTGCTGAGGGCCCTCCCCTTGCCATGTCCCTACATCCCTTCACTTTGAGTGTGTCTTGTTTTTCGGGGCCTCCACTGCGGAGCTGGGGTTCCGGGAGGGCTGGCAGCAGAGAGGTGATGCAGGGCTGCCACTGCTGGCAGCACACCTGCTCCTGCCCCGGCTGGCACACGGCCGGGGAGTCGCCCACGCGGTGCCAGCACAGGCTGAGCACAGATCCCAGCCTGGCGCTAGGAATGGGGTCGTAATTCTCAGGTGGCGGAAAGGCAGAATTAAATCTAATCCTGGCCCTGTCAAAAACCAAAGCCAAAGCCCAGCAGTCTCCCCAGATGCAGTTTATTTACAAACCCGCCAAATAAAGTAAGAATCTAGTGTCATTTCATGAGTAGTTTGTGCTCACAGACAAGCGCTTTCAGTAGAAAGTCACAGACTCCAAATCCAGAGCCACCACCACAAAGCAGCAATTCTCCACTCCTGACCCGCGGCCACCGCGGGGCCAGCAGGACCAGTTAGTCTCCCTGAGCTAGCTCCAACCTGAACCCCGTCCTGAGCTACGACAGTGCCAAAATATACACCTTCCTAGAGTTAATTTACAGCTTTTTGGTTAACAGTAAAAATAATCTAGAGGCTAAAATGACACCATGAAACACTTGTTTAGGCAAGAGGTGGTTTTTGTCTGCTCTCAGAGGAGACAAGGCCCACCCCCTACGGCTGTTACAGTGGTAACAAGCTGGTGCAGTCGGGCACCTCTTGTCAACGCCCCACACACCAGTGCCAGGGAGGTGGGATGAGGCTGATGCCAGTTCCCCCTTCTCAGCCCCGGCTCCAGGTCAGAGGAACTTGTCCGAGTGCTTCAGGTTTTGCCACCCCTCTCCCCGCCAGAGGCACGCCTCTGGCTGGCATGGGGGGATGTGCCATCCCTGCTCCGTACAGCAATGAGTCTCTCACCAGCCCATTCCACTTGCACCCGCAGTGCCACCTGCCACCAGCACCAGCCTTCACGGACCAAAGCCGCCCCACG